TGGATTGGCATATCACTGTTTAATGGCCCACTGCTTGTACTTGTGAGTGGTTTTATTGACATAGCCATGCCTACTTGTTTTTGTGTTGTCTGAGGCTATTTTAATGTCACAATGGCAGAGCTGGGTAGTTGCAAAGGAGATCCTCTATCTGTTACTAAAAATATTTCCTGCCTCCTGGTATACAGGGTCAAGTTCAGCCTCCTCCAGTATGCCAATACCAGGACCTTTATTACCTTATCCATTCCTATGGTATGATATACTCCTACTTCCTCCTCAGGACCTAATCTCCATCAACAAAGCACTGCCTGCTTTTTGGTATCTTGCAAGAACCTTACATTAACTGGTTGTTGATACCTCTAGGCCTTTTGTCCCATGCTCCTTTGGGCCTCAAATTCATCTCTGGTCCCTTTCACCTGAACACCTAACACTGCTCAACGAGGCCAGGATGAGGCAGTATCTTCTCTTGCGGCATTTCATGACTTACTTCTCCCAGAATTTTTACTTAGGAGTTCTATTTGGTTCTATTATAATATACATAATAGAATTCATTCCATTTCCATGTTTCATAATTATTGTTTATTTGCCCCTCAACCCTAGATTGTGAATTTTTTATGTATGTCTTTTAAAAAATGTTTTTATTAATACATTATAGTTGTGCACAATAGTGAGGTTCATTTTGACATAGCTAAACATGCATGGAATATCATTTGCTTTATTTTAGTCCCTAGTACGTCTCTCTTCACTGCCCTCTTTACTCTTCCTGTTTCCCTTCCTCTATGCTCCTGATCTTTCTCCTCGTAATTTATTTTTTTAAATATATTTTTAGTTGTTGATATACCTTTATTTTATGTATGTATTTATATGTGGTGCTGAGAATCAAACTCAGAGCCTCACACATGCTAGGCAAGTGCTCCACCACTGAGCACTCTACCACTGAGTGCTCCAGCCCAATTTATTGTTTTTTAATTACTGCTTTATAGATATACACAATGATGAAATTCACTGTGTTATATTCAATGTACATAGCAAAATTTGGTCAATTTCATTCCACTGTGCCACCTTTCCGCATTCCTTCTCCCTTCTCCTCAATCTTTTTTTACTCCATAGTTTGCTCTTTTTTTTTCATAGAAATCCCCACACTTTTTGTTCCATTTATTTATTTCATTGGTTCTTTTTATTTATACAAGACAGTAGAATACATTTTGACATAAATAATTATACAAGCATGGAATGTATCTTGTTCTAATTCACACCCAAGTGCCTCTCCTGAACAGACACTTCACAGAAGAGGAGATACAAATGCTCAACAAATATATGAAAGAATGTTCAATTTGAAAATGCAAATTAAGTGAGATTCCATCTGAATCCAGTCTGAATGACAACCATCAAGAATACAACAATAAATATTGATGAGGATGTGGGGAGAAAAGGCACACTCATACATTGCTGGTGGGACTGAAATTGGTGACACCACTCTGGAAAGCAGTATGGAGATTCCTCAAAAAATTAAATATGAAACCACCATTTGACCTTGGTTATATCACTCCTTGGTATAAATCTGAAGGTATAAATGTAGACTACAGTGATGCAGCCACATCAATGTTTATAGCAGCTCAAGTAACAAGAGCTAAGCTATGGAACTTAAACTAGGTGTCTTTCAACAGATGAGTGGGTAAAGAAAACTGGGTATATATGCTCTAGAGAATATTACTCAGCCATAAAGAAGAATGACTTTATGTCATTTTGCCAGTCAATGGTTGGTTCTGGAGCCTATCATGCTAAGTGAAATAAGCCAGTCTCACAAAAGTAAAGGTCAAATGTTCTCTCTGATACATGGATGCTAACACACAACGGGGGGGTGGGGTTCTGACTACAATTGTAGGGCCTGTGAATGAAGGTTCTCTGTAGGTGGCCTGTGGGATAGAAACCTCCACTTGGATGATGAACATCACTGGGATACCCTTCTTGTGAGAGAAAGGTATCCCAGTGGGGAGATTGACAGTTGACCGTCATTTTTCTGAACTCCTACACGGCTGGCAGTTTTGGATTTGCTGAGTGCCCACTCCCCTCTGCTTGGAGTTTTTTGTAGTGGCTCTAGCTAGACACTAGGCCGTTGTCTGCAGTGTGGAGCCTTTGGGTGCGGACTTTCTGTGGACATACTGGCGTGGAAGCTTCCACCACGGCTGAGGCAGATGACTGGCATTTTACCTATCAGTGTGATGGAGTTAGGGTGTCAGCCCGTCGTTGCCTCAACTCCTGCGGAGGCTGTGGGGGAGCACTGGGTTGGGTTTAGCACTCCCTGGGCGTGACTTGTTGTCAGGTCAGCTCCACTCCACTTCCCTTGTCCACAGTGAAGGGGAGGGGTTTGGGCAGCATTCAACTAATAAAGATCTCTCTGCACTTCCGGATGGATTACTCAGACAAGACCATTCAGAAACTTTCCCTGTGGTTTTATTTGTAGGTGAGGAGAAGCTGTATGGGTTTACTTTCCTCTAGGGAGACTGGCTAGCTGTGGACTTTACAGAACGATTGCCCTGCCCCAGCACAGCTTTTAGCTCACACTCCGTGATCCCCTTCACTCTTTGCTGCCTCTGTCCCATTTTGACTTGGTTTCATTTTCTTTCCAACTTTGTTAAGGAAGTAAATTTATGGGCTTTTCCTTTTCTTCTTTGTCTCTTTGTTAAACCTCCCTTCTGAGTTTGGGTCAAGAACCTCTGTCCTTATTTTCTGCTCTGGTAACCAAATTCCAAGTCCCTCCAAATCTCAAGATGTCCAATATTGAGTTTTAGAGTGTTTACTCTGTTGCTCATCATTCATTGGTCTTTCACTACATGTTTTTCTGGGCTATGGCTGATCAAGAGTTGCTGCCTAGATTTGCTCTGCCTTCTTCTCTCTAGATTATGCATTTTTAAAAAATATATATATTTTT